GAGAAGAAAAACTAGAATTAGCATAGCCACAGAAGACGGGACCAGGAGTCATAAGTAGATATTGGAATTCTAGGAAGGAGTCTTGGACTCAGTTTAAGTGTTCCCAGTTAGAGCCACCCAGAAATGGACTGATGTTGCTTGGAACGTAATGAGTTCTGTACTGCCAGAGGCTCCCGACCCTTTTACCAGTTGGAGTTTGTGTGGTATGATCTCAGGAGAGGGCCTTTAAAACTCTAGCATTTGTGCTTGCATTTTCCATTACTATGAATCTGTGAGACTTGATACTCTCCAAATCATAACATAAGGCCCTCCTAAGAATAGGAAACCTGTATAAAGGAGTTAATAATCTCAGCTTCCCTGAAGAACGATGTTCTTTGCCTAGGATGATCATAAAATCAGTTAAAGGAGAAGTCACAATTTCAGATTTCCCAAGTTATGCCAGAAGCGTTTTCAGTCAGGTTGACGTTTCCAGAGTGTAAGGGTGTTGTCATCATGACTGTCCAAGTGCTGATATTTTACGTAAGTTTAAGATCACCTCTGGCTATCATTTTATTTAATTAGAATAAACTTTTATTATTGGTTAAAGTGAAGTTAATAATTGAAGAACACTTATGACATAAAATCCGTGAGCTGTTCATCTGAAGTGAGGGCATTTTGCTTTTTTATTTTATTAGGTCCTTTTATTTATTTTTTATTTTTTTTAAATTTTATTTTATTATGTTAGTCCTTTTAAAAGAGGAAATGATTTAGATTATTTTGAGTGTAATCTCTTTTGAAATCTTAACTATTAATATGTGGCCATTTGTTATTATAAAAGAATGCTGCACTGAGATGTAAATTGATATGGCAATAGGAACTATGGGAAGTCAGAAAGACAAGGTGGGGTTTGTTTTGTGGCATATATTCACACGTTTTGCATTATAAATAATGAATTGTAAAAATTTCAGAACACCCAACCTCCAATATAGTGGCCCTTTAAAGTAGTACCTAAATGAGGAGACGTTAAAGTGTGGCAGATGAATATTTGGTAAAGTTCTTTCTTACTAGATTAAGGCAAAATCACCTGTAGTCGTAATCCCTTATTCCTGTTCAGTTCCTTTTATTATAGTTATACTATCATCTGTTAGATCCAGTAGAATCTTAAGTTTTGAAACAGAGCACTTTCTCTGTGCATGAGTACCAGATGGCTGTATGCCTTTAAACCCTAGAATCCCACCCAAGGCAGTAAAAAGAGGAAGCAAGACCAATTTAGGGAACAGCAGACTCACAGCCTCATCTCACCCCTTCTCTAAGCAAGGGTGAGAATTAGATTATCACAGGGAAAAACCTCTTGCCACGGGGCTCATGCTGAAGTTTATATGAGATGATTCCTTTGTACCTTTTAAGGTTCTTTAACCCACTTTACTGGTCTATGTATATATACACATTTATGTGTATGTGTTTATGTGTTCAAATGTTGGCATTCAAAATCTGTTTTGTCCTATTAATAATAAAAAGTACATATTGATCAGTTTGTTAAATTATAAAATATTATATATACTAGTTTTTGTCTTTTCCTTAAGAATCACAGAGCTGTCAGTGACCCTAGAAATCATCTGGTGCAATCCATTTATTTTACAGCAGATAAACTTGTGATCTGGAGAGACTAATTTGTCCCCAGTCACACTGCTAGTTTTTACTAAGCGAAGTCTAGATTTTCTATCTCCTGGTCCTGGCCCAGTTTTACTATAGTGCACTGCCTTACCGCTCCTGAAATGACTGGTCTTCCTTCTCTTTAGATGTGTATATATATTTATGAGCATTAAAAATAAACAAAACATTTAAAACAAATAAATAAAAAACTAAGTTAATTTCACTGAGAGGCCAAATGTAAGTACAGACTTTTTGGTAAGCTGCTACCAATACAGTATCTTTCAGAAGTTCTATTTAGAGTTTAGTAGTTGATGACTTGATGAAATATGACCAAGTGGCAAATTTTCCTAATTGAGTTTAGTAGCAGAGTTTTGTTTTTCTGAGGAGCCACATATTCCCAATCTATTCTCCACATGTGTTCAGAATGATCTTTTTAAAATAAGCAAACCTAGTCACATTATCCTCTGAATAATCTCCATTAAGCAGCTCCCTTTTGCCTTCAGAATAACATCTAAGCCCTTACCATGGCCTACAAGGCTCCTGGTGATCGAGGCCCTGCTCCCACCATCCCCCCCACTTCTCCTTTCCCTCCAGTCGTGGTTAGCTTGTTTTAGTTCTTTGAGTGCAACTAGCTCTTTTACCTTTATGCACATGTTAGCTTTCTGTTGCTTCATAACAAATTACCACTAATTTAGTGCCTTAAAAAAAACACCCAATTTATTATTTCACAATTTCTGTAGGTAAGATGTCTGGCATGGTGTGATGGGATTCTCTTCTTAGGGTTTCATCAAGCTATAATCAAACTGTTGGCCAAGGCTGTGGCTCTCATCAGGGGCTAAGGGTCCTCTTTCAAACGCACTGGTTATTGGCAGCATTCAGATCCTCATTTCCTTGACACATCTTTAGAGTCAACAGTGGCATTTCAAACACTTCGGATTCTTTCAGTCTCTCTGACTTACTCTCTGTCTTGTCTCTGTGGCTTCCTCTTCTGTCCTCAGCCAGAAGGTTCTGCTTTCAGGGTCTCATGTGACTACTTCAGCCCCACCTGGATAATCCAGGATAATCTCCCTCTTTTAAGGTTAACTAGTTAGTAACCTTAGTTATACCTGCAGAGTCCCTTTTGCCATGTAGAGTGACATGTTTATGGTAATGGCACCAGGGGATGGAGATCATGGGGATCAAAATTCTGCCTACTACAACACAGTACCCTGCAACTGGAATACTCATTCTTATCTCTGCATCCTGCTCCTTCATCTGCTAACTCGTCCTTTCATCCACTGGGTCTCAGGATTTCTTTTTGCCCCTCTCTCCTCCCCCGCCCCCCATTCTCAGGTTTGGATTAGGCACCTCTCTTCAGTGCTCACTTACTACTCTTCATGTCCCCATTGTACCACTTGTCACTTCTTACGCTTACCCATATTCTTTCAGGAGACTGTCAATTCTCTAGGGAGAAAAGCCATGTTTATCTTGTTTATCATGTTTATCTTGGCACATTGTGTTTCCCTGTTTAACCTTGTGTCTTGATGCACAATTAAAAGAAAAGTTGAATCAGTAAATTATTTGTACCCATGAAAGGTGGAAGCATGAGCACCATGTTTAATACAAATTTCTAAGACTATCAGAGGAAGAGAAAGGACAAATTTAAGTCAAGCTATACAAATTATTAAAAACAAAAACCAGGGGCGCCGGATAGCTCAGTCGTTAAGTGTCTGCCTTCAGCTCAGGTCATGATCCCAGGGTCCTGGGATCGAGCCCCGCATCGGGCTCCCTGCTTGGTGGGAAGCCTGCTTCTCCCTCTTCCACTCCCCCTGCTTGTGTTCCTGCTCTCGCGATCTCTCTCTCTGTCAAATAAATAAATAAAAAATCTTAAAAAAAAAAACAAAAAACCCAGCCTGCTTTTGTGAGTTAATGAGGTGCTCCTCATTACTGGAAGCTTTTAGGTGGAAGCTCACTGACAGGGTGTCAGGGATATTGGTGGGAGGCTAACAGACATGAGCTCTGTTTTGTGACTCATGATTGTTACGGTTGACGTAAGACCTAAGGAGATGGAGTCACTTGTATTCCTATCCCTGTGGCTCCCACGAGAGACCTATGTGCTCTTTTTTTTTTTTTTTTAAGATTTTTATTTATTTATTTGACAGAGAGAGAGATAGCGAGAGCAGGAACACAAGCAGGGGGAATGGGAGAGGGAGAAGCAGGCTTCTCCCTGCTGAGCAGGGAGCCCGATGTAGGACTCGATCCCAGGACCCTGGGATCATGACCTGAGCCGAAGGCAGACACCCAACGACTGAGCCACCCAGGCGCCTGAGACCTACGTGCTCTTAATCACTAGCAGTGTGCCTTGTCCATTCACTGGAATTATCCAGCCTGGTGGGGCTGGGACAATTGACTCCCTAGTATCCTGTGCTAGTTACTGAATCATAACTGAGTGACAAGATTAGTAAGTAGAGTTACTTTTATAAGTCATTAACTGTGAAGAAGCAACATTAGAAGTAAAAATACTATTAATATACATCACTAGAGAAGGAGTATAGTGTAGTGTTTAAGAGTGGGCCTTTTGGTTCAAATACCCAGCTGTACCACTTACTAGCTCTGTGACCTTAACTCAGGTACTGAAGTCTTTGTGGTTCAGTTTCCTAATCTGTAAAATGCAGATGATAATAGGAGAGCCTAACTTGTAGAGTGGTTGAGAGAATTAAGTAGGCAAGATAGTAAAGAGTAGAGTACATAGGGTATGATTAGCATTGTGTCAGGGTTAGTTCTTCCCCTCTTCCTCCTCCATAACAACATTCATTATCCTCCAGGCACATTAAAGAGCGTTCAAGACCTACAACCACATGCACAGTGTCTGGCATATACTAGGAATACAATGATATACATGTATATATATTTTAAAGTAGGCACCGTGCCCAGCGTGGGGCTTGAACGCACAATGCTGAGATCAAGAGTCACACGCTTTACTGACTGAGCCAGCCAGGCACCGCTACAATGATATTTTTTATTTAATAAATAATATGTTCATTTGTAATCTTTATTCATATTTTTCATTTTTATTTTATTCGTATTTACGATAGGAAGTGGTCCCAATAACTTTATGCTGTAAGAACTAAATACTGTGTTAGTCTTGTGTTGCTCAGTGCTTGCTAAGGTAGTCTGAGAAAGGGGACTTAATCTCTTATTATTAAAGCAAATGGATGTTTTTAGAAATCTTTTGAATTATTTTCCAGAATAAAGAAAACTATAGCCAAGTAAAATTCATATTTTACATATATCATTTTCTGGATGATAAAGTAAAATACCCTTGCCACAAAAATGTTCTCATTGGAATTCAGATGAGATGTTAACACTTTGCTTGTCTTTGCAAACAGGTTCATCCTAAATTCCACTATAAACAGGCTCATGACCCAGGCACAGACACTTCTTGTGTGGCTTTTTCCTATGATGGTAATGTCCTTGCCTCTCGTGGAGGTAGGTTAAAAACTTTCTTTTGGATGTGTTTCTGTATTTAAAAATGATCATCATTAACTCTAACAAATGTTACACTAATATCCTAACAGTAAAGCTAGCTGTGCTTTGTTTAGTGCACCTTTGCCAGTCTTTTTTTTTTTTTCCCATTAAAATGCATTTCTGACTTGGCAGTATTGTTTTCTTAAAAGGTATCAAATAAAATTTAGTTTTTATTTTAGCTTCAAATTCCATCAGAATTTGAAGCCTCCAGGGATGACTTTTGCCTCTAACTTATGGAATTTTGTAGATGATGTTCTACATTTTTCCTATATCATTTTATAATTTAGACTCTTCTGTTGGCTTACCATTGATTTTTTTTTCAGTTTGAACACTGTACCTCAATTCAGTTAAAAAAAAAAAGTTGCGTACCTGAATGTTAGTTTTTAAATGGCCACATAGTTCTGTATGGCCATATTATGTTTATTTACCCACATTCATGAGGTTGAATATGGGTTTCTTCTTGCTGAATCTTTCTCACATGGATGAGCTAAGTGTTGACAGAAGGAAACAAGAGAATAGTAAGGGCAGCTTATGAGCAGAGCATTACGGGAAGTATGGGGCATGACTGAGGATCTTCCTGTAGGCCTATTTGTGGGGAGGGAAAAGAAACAGTAGAGTAGGTAGATTGGAGCCATTACAGATGGCTTTAAGTATCACATAAAGGATTTAGTTTTTATTCTGTAGGCCATGTTAATCTAGCAACACTACATTTGGCCAGTCATTCACTCACTCAGCTGCTCTATGTTGAGCAACTACTCTGAGCAAGCATTGTGCTAGGTGCTGGGTCTAAACTGTGAACATCATAGACAGTGTTCCTTTCCTGAAAGAATGTGCAACCTGGCGTAGAGGGTAGTAGGAGTGAGGAGGAGATGGAGAGACTTGGCCCAGCTTTTGCTCAGTTCAGCCATTCCATGTCTGTGTACCTTGGGAACTGCATCAGATTCTCTTTCCTCTGAGGAAGCCTTGTCTGTTATATCCAAACTACCCTCACTTACATAATTGTAAAACATCAAAGCACATGTATTTTCTATTTATGGTATATATGGAAAAGGGGGGGTCTGTATAAAATAGTATTTTGGTCCATCAATTCTAACCTATTTGAGTCCTGAGATGACTCTTTTTTTTTTTTTTTTAAAGATTTTATTTATTTATTCGACAGAGAGAGACACACAGCGAGAGAGGGAACACAAGCAGGGGGAGTGGGAGAGGGAGAAGCAGGCTTCCCACGGAGCAGAGAGCCCGATGTGGGGCTCGATCCCAGCATCCTGGGATCATGACCTGAGTCGAAGGCAGACGCTTAACGACGGAGCCACCCAGGCGCCCCAAGAGATGACTCTTAATTAAGACTATATATACTCTTTACTTACAAATAGTGGTTCTTACCCCAAGTGTGTATCTGAATCTTTTGAGAAAGTTTTTCAAATGATAAATGTTTCACTTAGAAATTCTCACATTTACTCTTGCAGCTTTAGAATGGTGAACCCAAATCTCCAATGTGGAGTGGGGAGACAAGAGAGGAAGAAGTGGGAAGCATAGTTTGAAAATTCCTCTCAGAGGATTCTAAAACAGACCAGCCCCAGACCAGCTGATAATTACTAGAAGTATAGGACTAACTTCAGTTCAGACAAAGCCATTTTGGTGACAATTCTTACCTTCCCTTTCCATCCTATAATAACTGTTGGGTAACATGTCTCCAACAGAGTACATATACTGTATTCCATCATTTTTCTTCCTGGATGTATAGAATATGGCAGATAGAAGTCTATTCAGCAGAGTCCCCAGGTGTTGTAAGGTACTCCTGCTAGCTCCAGAACCTGTCAGGTTAGCTAAACTGTTTAATGCAGATTAATGTTTTCTTATTGTTTGAGAATTATGAGGATATGTAATCTTTTTTTTAAGACTAAAAGCCAAAAAAAGGTGAGTCTTACAGAGTCTTTCCATTTTAAGCAGGTCCCCAGTCCAGCCAGTTGTGGATTAGTGCACCTGCCAAAAGTTGGGTTTCAGAGGAAGGGTCGCTTGGGAGAGAATGGAGATTTTTATTGAAATCTCCACTCACCTCACTTGCACCTGATACTGATTCTTTATTGGACCCAAGGGGTTGAGGCAGGTCTCAGCTGTGGACGCTGGGGAGCAAGAACAGCAAAGACATTACTTATATGAGTTTTGACTTTCATTCTGGTCAGGAATATTAGTTAGTAGCCCTATAGAAATAGAAAAAAAGCGATTCTTAGAAGAATATTCATTATACTTTAAAGAGCTTTTGGAAAAGCTGTACTTTCCGGCAACATGAAGAATGATAGCCGCAGGTAGAGTTACACTGGAGGGAAGGGAATCACATGGCTCAGTCTCATTAATGTTAATGGATAGCTTCATCTACGGACCAGTGGGAGAAAGAGTCTGTTGTGAACTGAACTATTTTCAGTCCTGATGGTTGTTAAATTATCTTCTTAAGAAGGCCGGTTATGCTCAACTATACCATCGGGGGACTACCAGCTGCTGTCAAATCACTCCTTAGAGTAGATTCTCCAGGGTTCCTTCTAGCCTACAGATGCTACATCAGTGTGAAAATTTATTTCTAGAAGGCCAGTTCATTATCATAAATCTTTCTACTGTTCTCACATCCACTACATTCAAACTGCCCAGTTAAAACAGTAAAATACACTTATGTGCATCTTTCTTTCCCCTTCCTTCCCTCCTTCTTTCCTTCTTTCCTATAGTTATACACTAAGTTTAGCAAACTCTAAACTTAGAACTAGTTTTTTGCACAATTCACTTTCTTTTTTTTTCTTTTTCATTCCTCTATCAGGTGATGATACATTGAAATTATGGGACGTCCGACAGTTTAATAAACCACTTTTTTCAGCCTCGGGTCTTCCTACCTTGTTTCCAATGTAAGTAGCGTATTTTAAATTGATAAATGTAAGAGAATGGAAAAGAAATTTCTTCACTTTAATTTATGTTATGTGTCTTTTAAAAAGGGACAGGAAGAGTATTTGAAATCTGTTTTTTGAAAGATACATTTTATTTTTCCCTTTTATTTGCACACTCTTCAGACCATAAAATTTTTTTGAAGTTGAAATCATATATGTTCATGTGTTTCTCTGTGTGTATACACACATAGGTCTTGGGATAGTAAAAATATTTTAAGAGATTGAATTGTTCTTTTAATATGTATAAATGACAGGGTAGGCCTGCGTATTTGTTGTCTTTTAAAAATTGAACCCCATTCCATCAAAGCAATATTTCATAGTTACTGAGCATTACTATATCTCATTTTCTCAAGTTTTTCTTATCATCATTCCAGTCAATAATTCAGTATACTTCACTTGTTCAGAGTATCTTGTTCTAGGTAGCTGAACACCATTATCTTCATTCTATTAAGTTGACAACTGAAGCATTTAAAGATTTTTCTAAGGCAACTGAGGTGGGATTTGAACTTTTAAGTCCTACAGTTGGTGCCTAAGTAAAACTTTCTATTTTTGTAGAAATAAAATTTCACATCTGTGTTAAATAATGACCAACAGGGAGAGCGTGAAGGTGATGGAAGCATCAAATGGAGGCAACTGTGTAATAGCAGAGCACTGACTCTAGCACGGCCTGTTGCCCATGGCATTTATCTGTTAAAACCAACAGATGGACAAACAAACATGAATTTATAGCTGATGAGAATTTTTTGAGCTATTATGCCTGCTGCAAGCTATGCTAACTACATAACTTCTTTGGATCATGTCTTAGATGATTCACAACCAGGTGGCCAGATCTCCAATAACAAGGGCTCTTGAATCATAGCCATCAGTTAGGTTCCTGCAGTTCAACCTGATCCTCATTTCATGGTCCTTGACTTGACAAAACTCAAATTATTTGGGGATGGTGGCTAGTGGTGGTAAAAAATAATTCCAAAACTGGACAAAATTATCACTACTTAGACATTAGTCATACAATGTCTATTTGTCTATAGCACCGTCAAGGTCCATCTTGAGTTTTTCCCACACTTCCTATACATTAAAAAATATAGTATGTAGAAGTTAGAAGCATAGATTCTGCAATCAGACTGCCTGAGTTCAAATCCCAGCTGCGCTACTTTTGTGATCTTGGCCAGGGTTTCTTTAATCTCTCTCTGCCTCAGTTTCCTCATCAGTAAAATGGGGATAATAATGTCTACCCCATAGGATTATTGTGAAGATTAAGCAAACTAATGTAAGTGCTTGACTTACTATGAGCCCTCTGTAAGAGTCACCTCTTGTTACAGTGGTGTTGTTTATATTTTATTTAACTCATTGCTGTAGGGTCATAAGCTTATGCTTACACACTGTTTTTGTCTGTAGGACTGACTGCTGTTTCAGTCCAGATGATAAACTCATAGTCACCGGGACATCTGTTCAAAGGGGATGTGGCAGCGGCAAACTCGTTTTCTTTGAGCGCAGGACTTTCCAAAGGGTGTATGAAATAGACATCACGGATGCGGTATGTAAATTCTTCTCTCCTCAGCCTTGAGAATGAAGTGAGGTTTGCCTCTTAGTCATCTTTTGTTTTGGTTTTAGTTTTTAAATAGAACATAAGTCCTGGCCCCTATGGTGCAATGGTAGCTACTTTTTTTTACTAACACAGGAATTACTAGTATGTTGCAGACTGGCTGATCTACACTTTCCCTTCCTCTGACCCAGTATTTCCCATGGGCCCACGCTTCAGTCAGAATTTCAGCTGGGCCGGGGACATTTGCCCCTCTGCCAACCAGTTTGAGGAAAGCAGAAGCTGATCATCACGTAGGATACAGAAAGAAGTGTCCCATAGGGCGCATGTTTGTGAAGATTCAGGGATTGTGGACAGAAGTGAAAATTATGCCTTCAGAAAGTGATGAATTGTATCATTGTTTCCTAAACCTTGAAAACTTTGACAGAATTCTGCTTGCCAGAGTTGTCATTGAGGTAAGACTCAGCTTCCACTGAGCTTAATTTCTGTTTAGTTATTTGGAAGTTTAAAACATTTCACAGTTAACGTCTGCATCTAAAAAAACCCATTAGTTTTCTTTACATATTTATATAAGCAGTGTAAGCACTAAAACAGCATGCATGCATGCATTGATTCACTGATTCAGTCATTCCTTTCCTGAGACTGTAATATAGTAATAGTGAAGTTTCCCAGAGGAAAATCTGAATTCCTTTGTAGTCTTTTAGAGTATGTATTAGCATTTAGAAGGTAAGGTAAATCATTGTTATTTTCTGAGTATGAAACAGACTGATTAATGTCTGTGTAAATTTTCTTTGGCTCACTGTCAAAGCCTTTAGTAATATCCTATATCTTAAACAGTGCCCTTCTGTAGACTTCTCCAGTTGTTTCAGCTCTTTGTAAACAGTTGGGACATATTATGTACTTACATGATTCAGACAATTGAACAACTGTTTTTAAGTCACTAGTCAAAAGCTCCTGTCTCTAATGTTCTAGTATTACTGTGGAGTCTTAATTTGTAGGCCCTAAATTTGAAACTGTGGTATAGTTAAAGACAATGAAATAAATAACAATGAGACTAATTCTAGATGAGTACTTAAGTTTTATAGATTCTAATCTCATGATGTAATTTGAAATGTGCCAGCACTAATAATAATTTTTGGGGGGTACATCCAAGAGCCAACTTAAACACTAGAATCAAAGAAAAACATTCTTGACTCTATCAACTTTAATCTCAAAAAATAAAATTATTATAATTGGTTGTTCCAGAAGTAAGCTGTGTTCTGTTATGCCTCTCAATGACAATACATTTCAGTATTACTCATGGTGTTATGGTTTTAAATTATAATTAAAATTGAAACCTAAATAAAATTGCACTTTTAAGACACCCTATGTTTTTGTAGTGTTTAGAACATGCTGTTTGCTTTGTTGCTCTGAGTTGCTTTTCTAGCTAGATCTTTTCCTCCATAGTGCTTACTGCCATTGCATCTGTTACGTTTGTTGTCTGTTTTCTTGCACCAGGATGTAAGCCCACTAGAGCAGGAACTTTGTCTGTTGTGTTCACTGTGATCTCCTCAGTGCTTAGAACAGTGCTTGACACATATTTGTTGAATGAGTGAATGGTATACTTGGCAAGTCCATGTAATGCATACTGTACAGCACAGGTATGTCTTTGGAGAGTGAGGCAGGAGAGAAGTATCTAGAGATGGAAAGGTAAACTGATCTGTATACCGTAATAAGAAGGTGACTTTATCTTCTGTTTTTTGTTTGTGTGTGTGTTTGTTAAAGCAAGGGAATGGCACAGTCCGATTTAGGCTTTAGAACATAATTTTTATTGAAGTGTGAAGGTTAGATTTACAAGATTTGGTGTTGTGTACGAAGGCTGAGGTTTATTACTTGAGAGGCTGGGCCAGTGTTCCCCAAGATTAAAAAAAGAAAAAGAAAGGAAAAAAGCAGATTTTGGAAGAAACACAGTGCATTGTTGTTGGTATGTTGAGCTTGAATACCTGCATGGCCTCTGGATGGAGATAGTAGGCAGATAGATAAGTGAGTTTGGTGCTTAAGAGAAAGAAGACACAGTTTTGGGAGAAATGTTTACAGTTTATAGTTGGAATGTTGTTTGCTGATTAGTTTAAGAAAAGGGCACAAAGGATGGAGAACATGAGCCCTAGGAAACCTGAACGTTTAAGGGATGAGCAAATGAAGAGAAGCAAGCAAAGGAGAACGGTCATTAAGTAAATGGAATATACCTTCTGTTGAACTGTCTTAGAAAAGTCAGAAAACAGATTTTGAGAGCCATATTAATAGACAGATGAAGAGAAAACTTCAAATAGGGACAAAAGGGCCACAGCACTGTGAAGCAGCCTTTTAAATAACTGATTTAGGACCTGTTTGATTGCGTTTTGTTGTTAATATCAGACAGCATTGTTTTTGTTTACATAGTAGAATGGTACGTTAAAAGAACTTTAAAATGCCCCTCTGATCTAAAGTTTTAAGTCTTGGAATGTAAGAAAATAAATGTATTCTTTGGAGTGGATAAAGATGGTGGACATTTTGCTTGAAGGGCCAAAAATATCTCTTATTTTATTGTATTTTTGTCATTAAAAACCAGAATAGTCGTTTCTTTTGGAAATACTGCACTCTGCTGTAGTAAGATACATACTGTGTTGAGTTTTAATTTACATAAAAGGCAACATCTCATTCTTAATATCAGCATTTAGAGGTGTGCTTGCTTGATTAGACACAGACAACGGTGGCTTTAGGTCTATCCTAGATGAGTCCTTTTACTTCAGTAAAGTATGAGTGATTGTATATCTCACACCCTCTTCTAGAATAAAATAAATCCCTAGGTAGTTATATTTTAGAATGCCAAGCGCCACATGTATATGGAGCCAAACATTGTTTTCAGTCAGGGATATTAAAAACTCTACCGTTGCCTAGTAACTAAAAACTATACTACAAGCTTCACAATAAATAGCTTTCAAAAATATAAAATAAAAATTTAAAAATATTTTCCCGTTTATTTTTGAAAGAAACTTAAAGGAAAAACTGGTTTTAATTCCATTCTCTGTGTTGTTATATGCTCTGAAAATTTTTTTCTCTTCAATGTAGAGACTCTCTTCACTAGGAGTTGACAAATGTTTCTTTAACATTTACCATTTTTATAGTATAATGTTCATACACATTTTACAATTCTGCTGGTATTATTTTTAGATGTTTCTTTGTCGTCCAATTGTATTCCCTCAATTGAAAAAAACAGCATATTTCTCAGTTGTCATCTAATTTTTTTATGATTTGAGTAGTGTGCTTAGCCTCTTTTCTAAGATAAATTCCAGAATATAACTTGAATCTTGAGTTTACAAATCACTTTAGTTTTTGTGTAAGATGGGACCCTAAGCTTTTGTATATTGTATAAAAAGCTACCATTACTCTATTTTGTGTGATGAAAGTATAGGAGAGAAAGAATGGATAAAATACAATTTGGAGATGATGTATCAATTATTATTTTTTAATTTTATTTATTTATTTTTTAAAAGATTTTATTTATTCACTTGGGAGAGAATGAGAGAGAGAGCATGAGAGGGGGGAGAGTCAGAGAGAGAAGCAGACTCCCCGCTGAGCAGGGAGCCTAGTACGGGACTCGATCCCAGGACTCCAGGATCATGACCTGAGCCGAAGGCAGTCGCTTAACCAACTGAGCCACCCAAGTGCCCGATGTATCAGTTTTTTAAAAAATATTTATGTTTAGAAGAAACATAGACATATTCAGACCTTTTCAGAGTTCTAATTATTCTGGAGAGGACCTGAAATAACGTTATGAACTACTATTAGCTTAGTAATTTTTCATCAAGCTATAATTTGTTATAAAATGACTAACAGACTTGCCTTTTTCACTAATATAAATCAAAGGACATGGTTTATGCAATTATACTAGCATATTACCATTTATATTCTTTAACCCAAGTGTAATGGAATAAAGTTTTTTGACCTGATATTATTTAAGATGGTGGCCTCTTCACCTCAGCTGCTTTTGGCAATAATTTAAAAGAAATAGCAGGTGTTCCCTTGGGTAAAGAGGGAAAAAAAAGTAGAAAGGAAAAAAGCTAGAAATCTCACAGTTGATCCTGACTACTCTTCTGATTTGTTTGTTAGCTTATGTACTTTGGTGAGGGACCTTTGTTTCTGCAAACACTGACTGAACAAAGTGAGGAATAGAAAGAAAAAAAATCAAACCTTTATTTACAAAACATAGCTATAGATCTAGCACAGCTGATCTGGTATATAGCCGCAGAAGGGAAGGGAAGGGAAATTTGCTTTGATATTTTCAACTAGACTGCTTTATTTTATTCATTCATTAGGTTTTCAACTAGACTGCTTTTGGTATTTTAATTGTCTTTTTCTGATTTAATTGTATTTTTCTGATTATAAAAGTAGTACATATTAAATCTAAAAAACTGTCAACATAGAAAAGATCATTAAGAAAGTAAGTATCATATCTAATCATATCACCCATAGATTATTCTCAGATATGACATTTAAATTAATACATTTTGATGTCCAAGAAAACTGCTCTATTTGGTAACCTAAAGAATGACATATATCATACAATGAAGTATCACATAAAAAGTTTTTGTGTTTTTATTAGGAGAGTATACTGATATTTTAAATCCAAAGAGATTGAAGGGAAAGAAGAAATGAGTATAATAAGGCCATAAATAATGGGCTCTTCACAAAACTAGCTATTTATCTTAATTTATGAGTGTAAGGGACATGCTGATCATTCATGCTACAATCATCCTCCATTATTTGTACATATGTAAGAGAGCAGAAAGGTCATTCAAATTAATGGATATTCCAGACGTCCTCAGAATTGGTTTTGGAAAGTGTCTTTGTTCTTACATATGAGTCTTGATAGAACAACTCTGGAAATTCACTTCAAACAAATTAATGAAGCTGTGCTTGTGAAAGCTTGTCTCTGAAGAGTTGAGGAACTCACCTCTTCTTCTGTATCATCCTGGGAATAGACCAATGATCTGTCTTACTGATGCAAGGTTCAACCTCTTTAAAAGTTTTCTGGAAATAAAGGAGTCCAGCAGTGTCTTTGCCCAGTCAGGATTGTACAAGGAATAGGACACAGAGGGAACTTGAGCTATTGGCAGTGCAAATGCCAACTGAAAATAAACTCGAAAGAAAGACTATATTTGGCATTTATCTGCCTTCTAAAATATAGTGAAACCTTCTCAATACGAAGTCTAGGGGATGGAAAAAATGGACTTTGAGTTTAGCTTTCCATTATCTGATTTTTATTAAAGAGCAATCAGGCAGCTAGTTGACTAGGGAATAGCAGTTGCTTTGAATTATATATTATCTTGGATAAAGCAGCATCAGCTTAATGAAGTTTTGCTGTAATTCACTTTCTTGAGAAGATTAATGCAGATTCTAGATGGATACTGATTAACTATTTGTACTTACTAAAATT